CAAGACGATCCATACCATCTTTCCATCCCAAGGTCTCCGCCCTTATCATATCAACCTCCTCACGAAGCTTGTCGATCACCTCAAGCTTGTGCTGCAGCTGTGAGATCAAAATATTAGCCACCATTCCAGGATCGAGCCCATGGGTTTTTAAGATTATCATTACCTGCTCGGTCAGGTCAGCCTGGTCTTGATGCGCCTTGGCCAATTCAGCTCGGAGGTCCTTGATTTCTTCTTCCCTTTGCCCAAAGAGTAGGCGTTCCTCTCCTCTGTGACTCGTCGAAGGTCGGCCTCGTACCGACGCAACTCAGCTCGAGATCGGGAACATGATTCTCGATGAACCTCTGCGGCCTACGAAGAAAGAAGAAAAGAAGTTAGAAAAGAATAGCAAACATAAAAGTGGTATCAACGAAGGGAGTTAGAGCTTACTAGATTCAGAGCTTGTTGCACTTCACAGAAAAGGCCTGACACATCACTAGGGCCAGTAACATCCTCGACGCCAGTAAACAAATCACAGAAGGGGTCCTCCCCTTCATGAGACTGGTTTATCTCGAGGGGCCCCAAAGCTTGGGCTTCCCGATCGCCCATTCGGAAAAAGCAGGGAGAGTGGGCGAGTCTCCGATTGCTATTGCCCCAAGTGACTCGCTTGGGGAGTCCTCCTCAGTTCGAAAAACTTCAGGACCGGCCCCTTCAGATACATCCACCGTTTGTCAACTTCGGTGGGAAGCATCCTCGATCTCTAACGATTCGGGGACTCGGCCCGAATCTCTCTCCGATACCACCTCAGTTCGAGGCGGAGACACGCAAACCACCATCGATCCAGCTGCCTTCGAGGCATCAATGGTTTTCTTCACTCGGGCCACCAGTACGGACCCGTCGTCTTGTTCTTCCTCGTCTTCATCCCTTAGACGACGAACTGATTCTTCGGTCAAAGGGATGGTATTCTTCCTCGGCTTACGAGCCGTCCTCATCTTCGGTTTTGGATCTTCGGGAGTAGAAATCCTTTTTCTCTTATTATTATCCTTCACCAGTTTTGGAATAAAGGCCGAAGCCTCTTCCTCTCCGGACGGGGGCCTCAAAGCCACATCTTTGCCCATGCCTACACACAAGAAAATTTATTAAGTACATGAAAAACGCTTCGTTTGAACTATCAAAGATACGAGAAAGAGGTTTACCATGATTTTTGGCCTCCCATCGGCCCTTTGACAAATTACGCCATAAGCGCTCGGCGTATGAGGAGGTCGAAGCCAGGGCCCGTACCCAGTTCTTGAGGTCAGGAACTGCACCGGGCATCCAAGAAACTGCTGCATCACAAAAGGGGATATCAGTGAGAAAGAAACGAAGGAACAAAATAATAGGAGATAACGGCAGAGTTACACTTACGCTTCATGTTTCACTCCTAGGAAAATGGCATCTTCTCGGCCGGTATTAGGTCCGAAGTCTTCACTCGAACGAACCTACCCATCCAGCCTCGATCCTTGTCTCTATACTCGAGAACAGGACCTTGGTGGCCTGGCGCTGGAGTTTTATTAACCCGACTCGAAAGAGGCGGGGGCTGTACAATCGAATAAGGTGGTCGAGGGTGAAAGGCATCCCCTCGATTTTGTTCACAAAGAAACGGATCAAAATAACAATCCGCCAAGAAGAAGGATGGATTTGGCCTAGGGTTATTTGGTATTGACGGCAAAAGTCAATGATAACAGGGTCGAGAGGACCTAACGTGAAAGGGTAAGTATACACACCTAAAACCCCTTTCACGTGAGTAGTAATATCTTCTCCGGGAGATGGGATTACCATTTTTTTGTTCTCCCAGTTGCAATCTTTCCTTATCTGTTCGAGATGCCCTTCAGTTATCGAACACATATACCTCGATACTGGCTTGCATCGGCCGGGAACCGAC